TTCCAAACTTGCTGGCATATTGAGTGCAGCACTTTAACAGCATCATCTTTTAGTATTTTATACGAGCATTTAACTGAGCTGTACACAACTGCAGCTATCTGTCTCAACAAGATGCTTTTGCTCAGTGAGGCATGTCAGTCTACACTGCCAACATACCAAGATGGGCTGATTCAACTCAATGCCTTTCACGCATGTGCAGACTGCCTATGTTGCTACTTCATGGGTCCAGCTCTCCTCAACCCTAATCCCCCGAGCAACCACTGAGATGGCCAGTAGCCTTATTCTTGCGTTCTCATCTCTTTCTCTGCTGTCTTGTATCAATTTATAGATTATAAGCACCCAGGAGCTTAGATCTGTCTTCCATGCTCTATAAAGTGTCTTCCAATGGTAGGACCATACTGTCTATCTGCAACCCTGTACACATTATACGGAAGAATAGTTCTTACTGAATGCAGTTAGGCTAGCCTTTTGAGTTAACTTTGGGAGGAACTGATCCATTCCTATACATATGCGTTTAGAAATTCTATAGACAGCACTTAGCTCCGGATAAACTTGGCTAATAAGATTGGGCTACAAATGTATGGCATTTTGTATGCCTCCAGTTTTAAAGAAAGATGATTCAAGCATAAATCACACAGGATAATCACAGAGGGCACAGAAATACACAGGTTCCTTTGAAATGATAAGGGTGGGTATATGTTTCCTGGAAAGTTTTGAAGTCAGTGAAACAATTAGTCAGGCTAATCATGTTTGGCTTATAAACCTCTTCTGAACTGATCTAACTAATTATAGAACAATGGTGTTAAAATCAAATACATATGCACCACCAGCACAGTTTATAATGTTAGCTTCAGTTGTTTACCATTTTAGTCCACCAGGAGTTTGTTCTCCTAATTACCCTCTGCATAACATTAGCCATCATAATTACTAGCTGACTGTTACTTCATAATGTTTAATGCATGCAATCTCTAATATATGCAACTGTGTTTATGATTTAGTTACCTCTTGTGGAGCAATAGAGAGCCTTACCTTATAGGGATTAAAGATGTGAACTCTTGTCATGATCACCTGTTTCCAGCCAAAACACACCACCATGCTTATGAAGGGCTCCATCAGCTGTCCAGAAGCATTTAGTCAGTCTTTCTGTTTCTGGTTGATCATCTTCTACTCATGCACTGAAATTGACTGGCGTTGAACCTGTAGCATTGTTATCATATGCTGGGAAAGAACGTTATGTTCATACCTGAAAATGCTGCTTTGTAATGCTGTTTCATGGTATAAATTACAAGAAACTGGTCCTTTAAGTGCTTGTGCTGTGAAAGGGAGAAAATACTCCCTACAGATCCATCAATCGGTCTAGATAGTGGAGTCTGCGAAACTCCAATTCTAAGTGACCAACTTGAAGCAGCAAGTTTTTCTCTCTTGCTGATGAACTTGGAAAGGGGAAAATGCAGCTCCATTTGCCTTCGTTATCTTCCATTAAGGAAGAAGGAAATCATTTCTGAGTAGCTTCTGGCAAGTAAGAAACAAAGCTGTTTGGAGAAGGTTTGGAGAATCAGTAGAAATTAAACATCTAGGGAGATGTTGAGCTAGTTACAAATTAGGATCTTAAAAAATATGTGGTAGGGATTGGTCCGAAGCTGTTTATCTCTTTGTATCCTTAATTCTAATTTGTTCTACCTGTATTAGGCTTGTAGGTGTATTTATACCTGGTGGATAATCTCTGTTATAAATCTCGCTGCCATGAGATGTAACTCCAAAGTACTTCCTGGCTGAGTTACTCTTTAACATCAGGGCATAGTTGTCTTGTGGATAGAGAAAAAAGAGAATTGATAGATGAGTTCACACACATAGCTATGCCTGGAGTCCACTTCAAATTGCAAGTTTCTACCCAAATGACTGAATGCACTTGTATACAAAAGTTCACCCTCTAGTGTGTTATAAAGAAAGAGTTTTCATCCTAAAATGCTTATTTCTTGTTTATTTATTAACACAATTTCTGTACCGCCCAAACTTCACATCGCTGGGTTGTGCAAAGAATCTCAAACAGCAATCTTAAAAACAAAACAATACATAATAAAATCAGCAAAAATAAAAGACCACTAGGTGTCCACAGGATCAAAGGCCCACTCCAGAGGAAAGGTTTTCATGATGACCCAGAAAGAAAGGCCTTCTATAAGGTTGGATCTATGACCCAAAGGGTCCATATTCTAGTTCATGCCCCCTTTGCTTTATCTGGTGGGCAGAATCCTGGGCAAAGTTTCTCTTGATGACCTAACAGATCAGACAGACTCATTTTGGATGGAATTCCTGTGGGTGAAAAGTAAGAACTTCCCATTAGAAAAATAGGCAATGGGGGGGCGGGGGAGAATAAAAAACAAAAAAGGATAAAATGGTAAAAAAAGTAGTAAAACAAAAATATAGCAGCATCTGTAGAAAGCCCACTTGTGTCCATATTTTAGATATATGAGTAATGATGTCATTGTGCAAATGTGATTGTGTCATGAGGTCATCGTGTGTGATGCAAGAATGTAAGTTGCCTCATCCACTCCCCCACCCCACCCCAAGCAAATGGTCTTGTACAAGTCTGCAGTCTCTTGCTTTCTAACAGTATATAACAGGTCATGTTTGCATTATAGCGAGCTAAAGCATCAAGCTAGTAACATTTCATTTCCCTGTCAAACGTATTAGACCAGTGTTGTCCAAACTTGCCCACTTTAAGATGAGTGGACTTCAACTCCCAGAATTCCCCAGCCAGCACTCATCTTAAAGTGGCCAAGTTTGGACAACACTGTATTAGACCAATATTCTATTACAGGTGCAAATCTTTTGCCCATCAAGGTGAGAGCATTAAAATTAAAATTGTATGAAGCTTTGATTTGGTTAACCATTAATAATGCTTCTTGGATACAGATACCAGCTTCTTGGTTATACAAACAGGACTTTTATGTACTCTGGGGGGGTGGGAGACGAAAAAAAAGGAAAATCTAAATGGTTGATGTATAAATTGAATGAAATTGTTCTTGGTCGGTATCTATAGGGTTCTTGAAATAATATGTAAGGAATTGAAATGTGTTCTTGAAATACAGTGTAAGTAATATATTTGTGTATGAGTAATTTTCAGTAGCATTACTGAACCAACTCCAGAATGACTCTTATTTAATCTTCATCCCATTTTTTTCTCACTGTACTCCTTCATTTTTATCACTAGAGCTTCCAGATAATTTGCATTATCAGCTATCAGAGTAACGTCACCAACACCATGGGTTATTGATGTTTCTTTCTCTGCCCATCTTCTTCTAATTCAGCTTCCCTCAGTATATATCCAGCCTACTTGTTGAATAAATAACATTTATGTAGCCTCCTGTGGGAGTATTATTATTATTTTTTTAATTGTGCTTTTTAAAAAGTATGAAATTGTCTTCCCATTGAGGAAGACTTGCTCTGAATAGGCTTCATTTTCTCCCATTTTCCTGATTAACACGAATCAATCTAGGAAATGTTTCCCTCACTCAGAATGAGCTTTGTTAGCCCTTGCGATACTAGTTTGTAGCCAGATCCAACAAGCAATATTGTATTATGATGTCAACATTCTTGCTCAGGGAGAGAAGACTAAAAACGCAATCACCCTTGGAGGTGCAATTTAATGAAATGGGAACTTCCTCATTCAAAGTTCAGTTTTTGACAAGTGAGTGGGGCTAGGAGTGGGGCTAGGAGGAAGGAGATGTGGGATCCTAAAATAAACAATAAATAACTAAATAAATATCTGCAGCTTTAAGGAGTTCCTGCTAGGAGCTACCTAAGCATTCTACACACCCTGAAGGGTCTTTTTGCCTTTGAATCTGAAGTGCCATAGCTCCTAATGATGATTGTCTGTGCTATGCATGAAGTTTCCATAAACCTCACTGTGTTGTTGATAGATTCCACATAATTGTTTTCAAAATGGTCTTATATACCATGATGCTAAACACCTTGCTTTTGCGGCAATGGAAGAGGGGAGCCAACTAATGCCCATTAATCAAGGAAGAAACCAATTTTCTCATGACCTCAGATCTGCTTGTGGCTGCATAGTTTGTGCTCATTGGTATGTTGTAGGCAAGTATTAAATGTTTGTGCAATCAAGGTCACAGAGAGAGAGTGAGGGAGAATCCAGACTTGGAATTTTCTAATTACTAGGATTAGTTTCTATTTTACCTGCAGCGCTCCTGTTCCTGGCTTTCCTTTGTCTAGATAATGAAAAAAGTGTTAATGGCACCAATTAAGGGGTGTAAACGTGATTTATTGGTCTTTGTTACTTTCCAGGTCACTAAAGATGCAACAGGAAGACATGCATCCAGCAATCTAAAGACAATTTAAACTGAAGCAGTTCTTTCCAATTTAGGTATTTAATTAAAGACTTTTAAAGTTTAATTAAAAAGTTAAATCATTAGTCTAATTCTGAACAGAGGGGGCTTTTTTTTTTGTTTCATTGAAGAAAGGAAAGGGGTACGTATTATTTATGATACCCAGCTTTTATAGTTTCCCCATTGTCATTAAATCATACACACACATACGCATGCGTGCATGCACACACACACACAGAATTATCATACATGCAGAGGAAAATTATGGAGTCCTTGGGGTTCTCTGAGCTTGGCTGTTTTCTTGCAAACGTTTCGTTACCCGGCTAGGTAACATCTTCAGTGCTAGAATGGGATGGGGTTCCATTCTAGCCCATCCCATTCTAGCACTGAAGATGTTACCTAGCCAGGTAACGAAATGTTTGCAAGAAATCAGCCAAGCTCAGTGAACCCCAAGGACTCCACAGTTCAACCCTGAGCTACACATATTTGCTTCAATTGATACAGAGGATAATATAAGAAGTTCATAAATGGTTTCATTACTCCCATCAGCTTTTGGGGTCTGAGGTGTTGTCACAGTGTTGCTGTTTTTAATGATGTTTTAATTACCTTTGTTGTTTTCAACTTATTGGTATGATTTTTATTTTTTTACGCAAGCTACCTGGAGCTTGGAGAAATGGATAGGATAGAAGTTATGGAAATAGTGACATAAATATAAAGAGCAACATGAAAAATATCCCACTGAAAATCATACATCCGTTCTGTGGATGCGGATTGGCCATCTAGCACCATGATGTCATCACATTCCAAGTTACCTGATTAGTTGTGATCACTTGAATGATCAGGAAAGAGTATGAAAAAAGGAAGAAAACAGGATAATGAAAAAGCAGCACCTACAGAAATGATGAAACTATGTAGAACACAGAAAGTGTTTCCTAGCAAAATAAAAATCGAAACCATGGTTTAACATGTCAGATCTGAAAAACTGATTGTTTATTGCAGCTCATTTTATGCTATGGAGGGCAAATAAAGTTTGTCCCCCTTAAACAATAGATTTAAGCAACTGACTTTACTAATTTTATATTACAGAGCAATCACAAGTTGACACCAATCATAGAATGGGCAGGATGGACTAGTTCACAGACAGTAGTGTTCATATCACTACTGTGTATGAAGAGGCATCTATGTTATTGCTACAATTTAAATATTGATATCTCTTTGAGAAAGAGAGAGAGAAAGAGAGAAATTCAAATTATCTAAGACAATACTGTGGAAGATTTAACATTTCTTCCCGGTCAAAGTCTGAAGCTAGAAATATTCAGTGTTGATTCTTTCCAAGGTTGGCACATCACAACCTAAGAATGCTCCTAAACATTTTAAAGCACTCTAAACAGAGTGGGAACTGGCCAGGTAGGACTTACCTGTGGATCCTCATACTTCTTGTTCTTTATTACAGCTGTAAATGGTATTATATAAAAAAAAAAAAGATACAACCCCCCTGCCCCCACCAATAACAGTCTAAATATATTCCTTTCCTTTGCATAGAATGGATATTTTCCTCCCCAACAAAAACCAAAACAAGGACAGTGAATGCTGATATCTTTTGGTTATTTATTGGTCTGAGGCTGCAAATAAATCAATAATAACTTACTCTCTTGTTCCTCACCTTATATATCACAGGGAGCTCCAAGCAGAACACTGTCCTAATTGTGAAATTCACAACTAAGGAAAAAAGTAACAACTCCCTTAAGTTGACTTAGCTCCTGATGACTACATGGACACATATCTTGGGACCAATATGGAAGTAGTTTGCCGTGCTTTGATTTTTCTGAGATGTTTCTGCAGTCTAGTTAGATTGCTCTCCAAAGGCTTTTTGGCTAATTGATGCTACCCCCCTCTCCCACAAGGAAGTAGGGACTTATTAGGTTGGTCTGCCTCAGGCAACTGATGAACTTGGAAGGGTTCTGGAGGGAGCTTGGGACATTCCTTGAGGAGCAGTTCAGCTGAGTCCTTAGTCACTGTCTGGAATGGGTGGGTGATGAGGGCCTTAGGCTGGATTGCTCCTATGTGGCCTGTCACTCTACATCAATTGTAGGGTGCTCTTTAGTTCTCTGAGGAATTCTAGTAGATGAAATACCAGAAGAGACACCAGGAGTGTCATTGGCAGAAGACAAAGAGTGAATCTGACTGATCATGTGTAAGACCTCAGTTTCTGGAGGTTATGGTCTGGATGGGGAGGAACAGGCTCAGGCTCAAGCAAGAATAACGTTGCCATAAAATTTCAGACCATGGCTGTGTTTGGACCTCATGGATCCAGAAATGATTGATCTTTAGACCTGGGTAGTAGAACATGACCCTCTCAGGGCTAGTACACAAATTGAGGGGTCTTCATGGACTTACAGCTCCTGCTCAAGAAGCAGGTGGCAGCTATGGCCAAGAACACCTTTGCAGAGATCCATCTTATGTACCAATTTTCTGGATAGGAAGCCCTTCAGACAGTCACTCAGGATTTGGTCGCCTTGAAAGTGGATTACTATATATAGGATTGATTGCTGTAGACTACTCAAAGCTGCAGCTGGACCAGAACATAGTGGCCTGGGCCTATGTATGCCCATGTAATACATCTGCTTTCGGAGCTGCACTGATTACCAGTAGATTTCCAGATGTAATTCAAGGTACTGGTTATCACTTTTAAAACCCTTGGTAGCATAGGGCCTAGCTACTTGAGCATAGGGCCTAGCTACACTATCTTCCATAGTGTCTGCCTGTCCTGTCCTGTCCGATCAGAGTATGTTGGCATACTCTGGGATCTAACAATAAAACTGCCATTAATGGGATCCAGGAAGCATGTATTTTTCATCTTCACACCTCTTGAGATTCATCTTGTGGTTCTTCCAGGCTACGCTGAATGTTGTGTTCCTCAAACCTATCCTTGTTGTTGAGGAGGTATAATTTTCTGTCACTTTATCTCTTGATAATTGTCTTGATAAAATCAAATAATAATTTCATTTGACCCAGAGTTGTTTTGAATTGTGTGGCCTCAAAAACCTAATACATTAAATTAAATTAAATTAAATTTGTTTATAGACTTAGGATTTCCTGGTAACCAGGTATTAACCAGATCTAAGCAAGGTCAGTTAGGTGCTACCTTTTACTGTTAGAACTGAATAAAATCTTGTTGATAGTAAATCGTATTATTTTATAGGGAACCATCTGACCCCTGCAAATTTCTTACACATTAATATGTATCAAGTAGATAGCATGGATTTTAAAATAGAAGGAAGACTTCTTGTACAGACTCCTCAAAAAAGTCTAATCATGTAAAAACTTGCATAGCTTAGCAGAAGTTCCCAGGTTTAGGGAGGGGAGGGGAGGGAGGGGAGGGAGGGAGGGAGGGAGGGAGG